CTTAAACATCTAGTGACGTGTCTGCCAAGTCCTGGGAATTGACCATCATGGCCATGTGCTTCTACTCCCTTCAGAGGCTGTTGCCCTCGTCTCCCACCTTCTGTACACATCCACGAACCACAGAGCCCTTTCTCTGCTCTGGCATTCTAGCCCACTTGTTTGCTGGTGCATCTGTGATATTAAATACATGTTCCTTTAGAAGCTGGATGTTAGCTAGAAAATAGGCTCAACTGGAAGTCGTCTAAGCACCCCTTGTTCCTGCAGCTCGTCAGCATTGAGAATCCTGCTGGGTCAGAAATCATTTGAACCAACAGGCAGCATGGACTTTCCGTATTGTCTACCTCCGTAGAAACCAGTATGGCAGGTTGCAAATTGTATCTCCAGTGTCCATTAACAATGTTCTGATCAAATCTGCTTCCTCCCTCCCTGCCAAATGTTTAGCACCGCTAGATAAACCAAGATTAAAATAATTATATCTACATACTGATTTTATTTTTTTTAATTAGTAAGACTCCCACCCCCAAGGACCAGATTCTAATTCTAAATATAGATTAGGTACATCACAAGGGAATCATGGATTTACCACTCATTTCCTTCTAAGCTTTGGCCCACAATTTATTATGAGAATAAATCACACAAAATCTGAGCTATCCGTGTGCAAATTGCAGGTAAGATTAAAACCTAAGCCTACCAGTCTATCTGAGTTTATACAGTACAGCCCACAATAACCATCACAACTTAAAAATCTGTTCTGACATGTTCGTCCTCATTAATTGTTAATGCAACATGTTCTTTGCAATTTTATTTGATTTTTGTCATGAATGCAGTGCTAAATATAGGTGTGTGTGTTTGAGGATACTACATGAATAACAACTTTGTTTTTACAAAGATATTTTGACATTGGGCGTGGCAAATAGCATAGAAACCAGTTTCTGTTGGCAACTGCAACAAACAGACTTTACCTGGCTCATTTACCAACAACAAAGGTGTGCCATGAGCAGTATTTGGCTTGACTGTGATGCTCTGTATGGTTGACTAGCATGTAGATGTCCTGTTAGATCTGCAAATGTTTGCAAAACCGAATATTGCTGCCTTAAAAATTAATCAAAGTATTGCATCAAGGATAAGATGCATTATACTGAGATCGATCCAACCTTGTTAATATGCTTAGATTGGTCAGGTAAACATTCTCGTATCAGAAGCTGGTTAAAGTATTAAAGTTGACAAATGTTTACTTGATTATCGCACCTCGTGAAAGTTTCAACCACTCACGACCACTCTAACCAGTATGAGTTGTTCTGAATTGAATTTTGCACAGATATGGAAAAGATTTTCAGACTTTAAAACCAAATCAGTTGCATTGCTTTGGAAGCACTGTAATAAGTATATATTTATGTTGTGTGCTGTTATAATTTGCAATCACATGAGTCCCACATTATTTCTTCTCTTTTTCCAATGTTGTTTCCAATGTATAAAACCACTTTATATTTCAAAAAAAGCTAATCTGCTTTAAATGTTGATACAACATATTGAAAGTAAACCACATAAGGACTATTAGTGACCATTTGTGACTCTTCAGGTAGTTACTGAATCTGTTTGTGTTCATATGTCACAAGATCTGGTCAACATCTTCTGGGTTGTTAGATGGCAAGTAACTTTTATGTCACACAAGTGCCAGATGTGACCATCTCTAACCACAGAGAATTTAATCAATGACCCCCTTCTCGCTCACCCACAAAGACATTCAGTGGCAATAATATCACTGAATTCCCAACTATCAACATCCTGGATGTTATCATTAACCAAGGGCTGGAGTGGACCGACAATCTTAATACTGTAGCTCCAAGAGCCAGTCAGAGGCTAGGACATCTGCAACTAACCCCATTCCTCTCTCTTCAAAGCCTGTCCACCATCTGCAAATAACAAGTCAGGAATATGTTGCAATACTCTCCACTAGTCTGGGTGAATGCAGCTACAGGACTCAATCCCTCCACCACCCAAGACAAGGCAGCCCACTTAATTGGCACTCAATCAAAACTTTCAGCATTCACTCCTTCCATTACAAACAAACAGTGGCAGCAGTGCGTACCAACTACAAAATATACGCAGAAACTCATGACAGCTCTTAAAACAGCACTTTCAAATCTCCAACCTCTACCACCTTGAAGGATAAAGCCAGCGGCTGCATAGGAGCACCACCTCCTGCAATTTCCCTCCAAGCTACACGCCATCCTGATGCGGAATTTTATTGTCATACTGTCACTGAGTCAAAATCCTAAAACATTCTGACAGCACTTTTGACTTTCAGTGATACAACAGTATTGTTGACTTCCCTACATTGCATGGGCTTTAGAAGTTCAAGAAAGTGGCTCACCATCTCCTTCCCAGGGTCCTAGAGGGATAGTCAATAAATGCTGGGCTAGCCAGTGATGCCCACATCCTGTGGATGATTAATAAAAGAAAATTGCAAGGTAGGTTTTGAGGACATTATAATAAGAAGGGAAAGAGGCACAAGGGAAGTTGAGCATTCTGGTTGCCATACCTTTTAATTGCGTAACACCAAAGGTGGTGTGTTTCAAATTGGGCATGTACAAGAGGCCAGTTTTGGAGGAGGACAAAGTGGCACTGGAGTTTAGAGACCAGGAGAGAAGAGTCTTTGGAGGGATTTGATAGACCCAGAACCAATGTAGATCAGCAAGCGCAGTGGTAGTTGCTAAATAGGTATCGATATGAGTTAAGATGTGGGCAGCACAGTACGAGCTCAAACTTATGAAGGCTGTAAAATGGAAGCCTAGCCAGGCGAATACTGATTTGCCCAAGTCTCAAATCTGTGCATCTTGTTAGTGTGATTTGACTGTAAGGTCTGGCATGTGAAGCTGTTCCCATTGTCAAGACAACATTTTGGGCCTAATGCATGTTTCTTTTTGTATTTTGTTGTTCAGAGGGTAAGAATATATAAATGTATTGTGCACGGTTGATGTTAAATGAAATAACAAGGTGTAGAGCTGGATGAACACAGCAGGCCAAG